TCACGTTGATAATACAGTCCTAAAACCTCTTATAATGTAATGGTAGTGGGAGTGACCTTAGAGACAGGTAGAAGAATTGCAGATAACGGTCAAATAAGAAGCATCTGAGAAGTCATATGGATATGGCAAATGTCTCAGAAGTTTCTTGGATTGTAAAGATGAAGAAATATGTATTTTAAGATTTGAAAGATTATGTTGCAGGTAATTCTCGACTTACAGCTGTTTGACAACAACAACAACAACTAATAATAATAATAATAATAATAATATGTGGATGTTTGATGGTATTAAACTGCAGGATGGAAGCAGTTCCTAGTAAGGCCGCCTTTTGCAATTGACTAATAGTGAATTTGTCAATGCCAATGGTGTTCAAGTGGTGCTCCAGTTGTTTTGGGATTGCACCCAAGGTGCCTATTACTATTGGTACTACCTTTGCTTGCTTTTGCCACAGTCTTTCTATTTCTATTCGTAGGTCTTTGTATTTTGTTATCTTCTCCAGTTCTTTCTTGTCTATTCTGTTGTCTCCAGGCACTGCCACGTCCACTATCCAGACATTTTTGTCTTTCTTATCGACAATTGTTAAGTCCGGGGTGTTGTGTTGCAGGTGCTTGTCTGTTTGAATTCTGAAGTCCCAGAGCAGTTTAATTTTATCATTTTCTATGACTTTCTCTATTTTATGATCCCACCAGTTTTTGCTTACAGGCAAATGATATTTCTTGCAGATCATCCAATGCACCATTGTTGCTAATTTGTCATGCCGCTGCTTGTAGTCAGTCTGTGCAATCTTCTTGCAGCAGCTTACCAGGTGGTCCACTGTTTCTTCAGCACCACTTGAATACCATTGGCATTGTCAAATTCGCTATTAGTCAATTGCAAAAGGCGGCCTTACTAGGAACTGCTTCCATCCTGCGATGATATCTGTAATACCATCAAACATCCATATCTGCCTATCCCAGGTCCTGGGTAAGGACTTGATAGGTAGACAAAATGCCAAATCCAGTCTGAACATCTGGTTGACTGTGTAATAATAATAATAATAAAAGTTGGAAGGGACCTTGGAGGTCATCTAGTTCAACCCCCTGCTCAGGCAGGAAATCCTATACCATTTTGGACAAATGGCTGTCCAGTCTCTTCTTAAAAACTTCCAGTGTTGGAGCATTCACTGCTTCTAGAGGCAGGGTGTTCCATTGGTTGATTGTTTTAACTATCAGGAAGTTTCTCCTTAGTTCTAGGTTGCTTCTCTCCTTGATTAGTTTCCATCCGTTGCTTCTTGTCCTGCCTTCAGGTGCTTTGGAAAAAAGCTTGACTCCCTCTTCTTTGTGGCAGCCCCTGAGATATTGGAACACTGCTATCATGTCCCCCCTCGTCCTTCTCTTCATTAAACTGTTCAAAATTACAATGGTGCTGAACAAAGGGACATGATTCCTACCCAAAGTATCAGCCACTTCAGCACCCCTATGGTCATGTGAACAAAAATCAGCTGATTTGTAATCTCCTGGCCTTATGACGGACTGCAAGGAAACTGCAGTGGCCCTCACCTACCTCCTTCCGATCCCACCCCACTGGGTCCTGCAGATTTTGGGCCTCTCTTCTATCCTGCTGGGTCCCATACCATCCTCCCTAACTCCCATCAGGAATTGGTCATTTACCTTTTTGACAGATCTTCAGGAAGTAGTTGTTCCGTCACCCTGCCTTCCTATAGAGTGGAGCCCAGGTGGCGCTGTCCTGGAAGCAGGTGCCATTTTGGGAGTGGCTGAAATGAATTTATGATTGCTTCAAAATGGTGCTCACTTCCAGAAAAGTGCCACCTGGTCTCCCCTCTATAGGGAGGCTGAGGGTTAGATCAGCTGACTCCTTTCCAAACACAATCTCCAGAGCCCCAGAGAGTACAGACCACTGTCTTTCTAAGTGCAGGTCCAACTAACCCCTCTCTTGAAGAAGAATTCACCACTGCTTAGATTCAGCCTTCAACCAACTGTCACATCTGGGAAGGACTTCACTGACCAGGAGGGGCATAGATCTAAAATAAAAGTGTATACACCCACAGTATAAAGTTTAAAAGGTTCAGTTTTTTTCCTAGATAATCACAAAAGACAATGCCACAACCAATTCCACAGGAACCATATAACCAGATTTCAACTCACCAAAATGATCACACCATTATTTAATAATCTTTAAAATCACTGTTCTACAACTCTGCATAGATTTTTTAAATATTTTCTCTGAAAGATTCAGAGAAAGGAACATAGGCAATGTGTGATGAATACTTTTTTCAAGTTGCCAAAAAGACGCCACTACACTTGGAGATCACCAGCAGATACACAAAATAATGTAGTAAAGAACCAAATTGACTATCTTACAATAAACAAAAGATTTAGAAACTCAGTAAAATCAGGTGCAGATGTACCATCCGATCATAATCTACTACTTGCTGGAGTCCAGCTGAAACTAAAAAGGATGAAAAACCCGAACCCTGCTAAACCAAGAATCGATAGAGACTTCATCATTAAATATGGAGGTAAGATTAAAGAAGAACTAGAAAATCATTTAAGGGAAACCAACAACCTGAATGATGATGATGATGTAGAAGCGAACTGCAATAAATTTAAAAATGCAATAGTAGAGGTAACAAATTCAAAACAGAGAGAGGGGTACCACAAGAAACAACAGTGGATGGCGGAGGAAATTCTTGATCTCATGGATGAAAGAAGAACTTATAAAAATAAAAACAAAGAAAAATACAATGAATTGCAGAAAACAATTAGAAAAAAAATTCGACTGGCAAAATAAAAGTGGTTTGCAAAGAGATGCAAGGAAATAGAAGAGGTAGAACGTATACATGATAATTTCAATTTACACAAAAAAGTGAAAGAAGCAGCAGGCATCTACAAAAAGAAAATCAACAATTTAGTTGACGAAGAGGGGAAAATTATCTTAGATGAGGATGAAAAACTAAAAAGATGCAAGGAATATATTGAAGAACGTTTTGAGGACACTAGGAATGATATAGGTATGGGAAGTATAACAATTGGACCAAATATCACTATGGAAGAGGTTGAACATACAATAAAAATAGCAAAAACAAGAAAAGCCACAGGACCTGATGATATCCCAGTAGAAATTTTAAAATTGTTGAAAGACAATGGGAATAATTTTTTACTGCAGCTCTTCAATCAGATATATGAAACAGGAAAGATACCAAATGATTGGCTAAAAATCAACCTTTGTGACAATCCCCCAAAAAATAAATGCAAAGAAGTGTACCAAATACAGAACAATAAGCTTAATGAGTCATGCCCTGAAAATATTCCTGAGAATAATTCACACAAGAATATACAACAAAATTGAAGAGCGTCTAGGTAACACACCATTTGGTTTCAGAAAAAATCTTGGTACACGAGGTGCGCTGTTCAGCATTCAGGTTCTTGTACAGCGTTGTAGAGATGTCAATCACAGTGTTTACATGTGCTTCATTGATTTTGAAAAAGCTTTTGATAAAATAAGGCACAGCAAACTATTAGAAATCCTGAAACAAGGGGGACTAGATGACAAAGACATCCAAATAATAAAGAATCTGTATTGGCATCAGGTAGCAAATGTGAGACTAGGCCAAAAATACTCAGCTGATGCAGAAATAAGATGAGGGGTGAGACAGGGATGCATTCTGTTTCCACTGTTGTTCAATATTTACTCTAAATCAATTTTCAACGAGGCGCTGGAGAACATCGATGCTGGCATCAAAGTAAACAGTGTTTAGATCAACAACTTAAGATATGCTGACAATACAGTTCTGCTTGCCAGTAAGCATGAAGATCTTCAGCTCCTCATCAACAGAGTCACAGAAATATCTGAAAAATATGGCTTGAAGCTTAACACCTCAAAAACCAAGATCATGGTTGTCAGCAAACAACCCGTTAATTTACCACCAATAAATTCAGAAGGAATACCACTAGAAAAAGTTGAAAGGATCACACACCTTGGTTCCAATTTACATGAAAGCTGGGACATGACCATTGAAGTAAAGACAAGGATAGAAAAAGCTCGAACAACATTCTTCTAAATGAAAAAGGTCTTCTGCAGTCACGACATAAGCCTAAGACTGAAAATCAGGCTTGTCAGATGCTATATTTTTTCTGTCCTGCTCTATGGAGTAGAGAATTGGTCTCTGACAGAAGGCCACCTGAAGACACTAGAAGCATTTGAAATGTGGATTTACAGGTGGCTGTTATGTAAAAGCTGGGTTGACAAGATCAGAAATGAGGAGGTGATAAGCCGCCTGGGAAAGCCAAGGGAAATCATCAAAACAATTAAAAAATGAAAATTAGAATATTTCGGACATGTGATGCGATACCCAGAAAAATACGGCATACTCTATTTAATCCTCCAGGGTTTGCCTCCATTGAAGGCAAACAAGGTCCAGGCAGAAGAAGAACATCATGGCTTCAAAATCTAAGGGACTGGTTTGGACAAAACTCAACAGCACTTTTTCGTGCGGTTGCTGATAAAAACAGGATTGCAACGTGGTCACCAATGTCCGATAACGGATATGGCACAAGAAGAAGAAGAATGATTCTATTACCATTTTGAACAGCTTTGTTAATATATTTTTCTATTTTAGTAATAATAAAAGCCACATTTTTGAAAGGCATTCTAGGTCTACATGAAGTAAATTATTGTGTGGAAAAAAATCTATGATAAAATATTATTAATATATAACGAAGAGGATAGAATGTGATCTTTACTGAATACTGCATTTTCCATTGGTAAATATTTCAAGCAATTGTGATTGGTTTACTGAATCTTCATTGTATAATCAACAGAAATCAGTAGATGGAGCAGTTTGAAGCACTTCAGGGAGACATTCCCAAACCAATGTTTTTCTCAGTAGAGTTCTTTTCTCCATCATTCCAAAGAGATTTGAAGGAAATATTATTGTCTGCAGAATTGTATAAAGCTGATGAGTTGCTGAAGATTGAAGAAAAATATCTGAACTTCTTCAAAGCAGCAAAAGGATGTTAGTACAAGTTTCAAAATTTTGCAATCAGAAGCTTGAAAAAAAAATAGATATTGTAAAATGTGAAAGATGCTGTTGAGCTGGAAGAAAACAAGCGAGTCTGATAATCAAAAAGGCAACTATATAACTACTGTATTTTATTGCTTATGCAAGTTTGCTTTAGGAGTTCATGGGATGACAAGTTACTGTTACTTCAAAGAGCATTGACTGAACTGTCAGAGAAAGACAAGATTATTCTTGCATGGTAAGTGTACAAACTGATTCCTCAGTTTTAAAAAAATACCCATCCTAATGTATCAGGAAATTTAAAAGTTCAGTGATAAGGTATTTTGAGATGGAACAAAATAAATGTTTTGTTTATAAAGCAATATAAGTTTTGTTGTTATTATTTCAAGGTGCATGGACAGCATGGTCAGAGAAGGGCCAGCTGAAGCTTGCATGGTAAGCATACAAATGGATTCCCCAAGCCATCTGAAGACCTGCAGTTTTTTAAAAAAACCACCCATAATATATTAGGTCATTTAAAAATTCAGTGAGAAATAAATCTACTCATTGGGTATAGAATATAAGGTATTTTGAGATAAAACAAAAAAGTGTTAAGTTTATAAAATATAAAAGTTTTATTTTAAAATACGAGATTTTAGTAATGAGTGGTATAAAAAAGCAAGTAAGACTAACAAACAAAAATGCCATTACAAAAATGATCTTGAAAAGGGAACTATATTTATTTACAAGTAAATCTTCAACCAATTTTTTTTATAGAAACAGTTTTTAGAATATACCCAACAGAACAAAACAAATATTTTATGGAATGAAAAACAGCTTCTCTGTGCAGCTGATTATGTTAATGGACAATGTGAAAGGTACATAACTATATGATTGACAGTGGTGAGTCAGTGTGGCTTTGCTATTCAAAATTCATTGAATCACCTCAAGAAATGAGGAGTCCTTGTAGTCCAAAGATCAGCTTCTACAAGAATAGAGCATGTAGATGAGAGTTCCTCAGCTTGAAGATTTCAGTAGCATGCTTGTGATTATTAATTGTCTTTAATTGTCCAGTGGAGAAATTCATTCATGGGTTTGAACTATTTTGAAAACAAATAGTAGATTATATTCAATGTGTCCTTCACAGATGATTACCTTTCCCTGATCCTTATTAAGATGCCTTGTGAACTCCACAAACTCATAGAAAATACACACTATTTCATTGCATAGAAACTAGCAATAGCAATAGCACTTAGACTTATATACTGCTACATAGTGCTTTACAGCCCTCTCTAAGCGGTTTATAGGATGACCATATTGCCCCCCAACAATCTGGGTCCTAATTTTACCAACTTAGAAAGAATGGAAGGCTGAATCTACCATGAGCCAGTCAGTAATATTAGTTTATACTTTGAACTAATATTTAAAGTATGATAACCTAGTTGTAATTAAGAAGAAAATATTATTTAAGCATCTTGGATATTGCTCACTATGAACTGAACATTATTTTACTACTTGAGCTCTTTATTAAAATATTTCCAATTTCTCATTCTTTTGCTAGAAAGTTAAAAATTGATTCTGATCGCAGACTACATTACAAATATTTGAAAAACAATGGAAAATTAACTGAAGTATTGTTCAGCAGTGTCATTGTGATTACATGGGAAACAGCACACCGGTGACAGAATTCATACTGATGGGGTTAACAGAGGACTCACAGTTGCAGCTGATCCTCTTTGGGATATTTTCAGCTGTTTATGCCATCACCCTGGTAGGAAACCTAAGCATAATTATCTTGATCAGGATCAGTCCTTCTCTCAACACACCAATGTACTTTTTCCTTACCAGTTTATCTTTTCTGGATATTTGTTACACCTCATCTGTCACCCCAAACTTTCTATCCAATCTTTTAAAAGAGAAAAAAAGTATTTCTTATGGAGGCTGCTTTACTCAGCTTTACTTTTATGGCACATTTGGAACCACAGAGTGCTACCTGCTAGCAGTGATGGCCTATGATCGCTATGTGGCAATCTGCAATCCACTACTCTACTTGATGATAATGTCCCAAAGAAAGTGTGTTCAGCTGGTAACAATTTCCTGCATTGCTGGAATCATTAATGCTTTCATTCATACAATGGCTGCAACTAGACTATCCTTTTGTGGCCCAAACGTCATTAACAGTTTTTATTGTGAGGGTCCTCCTCTTGTGGCTCTTTCCTGCTCAGATATCAGTCTTAATTACTTGCTGATGTTTGTATTTATTGGCTTCAATTTAATAACAACAAATCTGACTATTCTCACCTCCTACACTTATATCTTGGTTACTATTTTAAAGATGCACTCTGCCATGAGCCGTAGGAAAGCCTTCTCCACTTGTACCTCTCATCTCATGGTCATCATAATTTTCTATGGATGTTTTAGCTTTATGTATGCACGGCCAAGCTCTAGACCAAATTATAACCTAGACCAAATAGCCTCAGTGTTCTATGTAATGGTGACCCCCATGCTCAACCCATTAATTTACAGCATGAGGAACCAGGAGGTAAGAGGTGCTTTCAGAAATATCCTAAGAGGAAAATTTCATATTCAAAATATGTGATAGTGTGTGTGTGTGTGTGTGTATGTGTGTGTTACCAAACTTTAGCTTTATATAAAATTTGTTCTAGAAGCAAATTGTGTCTCATTAAAAAAACGTTTATGTTTATTTTTTGAGTAAAATTCTGTCTCAGTTTTATTAATTTTATCATGGCTGCCTGCAAATTGGTCATGTGTATATCTTCTTCATCCTGATGTTTCAACAATGCTGCTTCCAGATACTCGGAGGATAGCAGATCAGATACTATACCTGAAATTCCTTTTTTTGAAAGAGAGTATATGATTTGCAAAATTGATGTCAGAGTTCCCAAGTAGAGCAGACTGGAAGCACGACCAGAGGAGCTAATCTGACATCATTGTAAGGCTACATTACCAGAATCTTGCATGTCTGACAGTACAGATTTCCCATTGTCTTTTTAATACCCTATTAGCAGGTTTCCTTTCTGAGTTTCTTTCTTTCCCCATCTGAGGGCTATGTCCTCTCTTATCTGATCATTCTTTAGGCAGCATCTCTCTCCTCCTCTCCATATTCCGTTGACATTCCCACATAGTGTTACAGTGATGTTTCAGTTACAGATTTAAAATTTTACTTATTTAATTTATACATTCACTCAAATGAGTGCACAACTCAGGGAGCATGCATCTTCAATAAAAAAAGGGAGATTATGTTAGAAAGGATGGGAGTAGGAACTGTGAAGAAATGATTCCAGGTAATATCAACTCTGACAACCTCACTTGGAGGTCAAAGGTTGAAATATAAAATTGAGTATCATCAGCATCCTGATGATATCTTTTCCCGTGCCAATACATGACCTCATGCACTGGTTTAAGTGGATGTCGATCAGGAGTGGGAAAGAACTGAATTCTGAGGCACCTCACAAAATAAGTCCCTTAGATCTGTCTTTCTCTCTCCCTTTCTCTCATTCTCATTCTTGACTGAAAAGGCCATGAGGACCATTGCAACACCAATATTCATCACTGACATCCTTGAGCTGCCATGACTTACCATGTTGGTGGAATTCAAGTTTGACAAGAGATCACAGAGGGTGAAGAACGTGTACTACCTCCATCATAGTCCCATCACAGGTTATGAACAAGCATAACTAATGATGTTGTCAGAATCCAATTATATTTCATCTTTAATTATCAAATATAGAAACTCCCAATTCTGCCTTCTCTGGATTCTGCCATAAGAGGGAGAGAAGGGGGAGAACAAAGGGGCTTTATGGCCCTCACTTCCTTCAGTAGACTTCTAAGGAGCTGAATGTGTTTATTGCAACATCAAACAGAGACTTTGAATGTAAATAGCATCAAAGAACCTTACCTCGACAAAAGAGAGCTAATTACCTTTCATGTAGTTATCTGAAGTCTCCATACAGACGAAAGAAAGGAGCAAGGGGGTGGAATTGTGATGCCTGAAACTATCACTGGAAGGGGGGGTGATTGGGTGGGACTGCTGGGGAACCCCTTAAAACCTTGAATGGGAGAGCTTGGACCCCAAGTCCTGTCTAGCATGCCTGCAACCACTTCTTCTTAATAAAGGATTCCTGTTGGAAGAATTATTCCAAGAGTTCTGTCTTCTTAAGATGCAAAGTGGGGTGGGTCCTTACAGATGTTCTATATAGTGCCCAGGTGTTAAACTTGATTGAAAGGAATTTTGATAATCTGCTTCACCCAAGCACCTTGCAGGTGCTAGAAATTATCCAACACAATTGCATCTAATGTTGATTTACTGAGAATGGTAAAGACCCCAGTCTCCAAAAGGGCAGGTGCAACCAAACTACAGTCAAGGAAAAATTCTAGGAGAGTTTTATCAACTAATAACAGCATGGATCTAAAATTTCAGTGGACACACCCACAACTTGCAAGATCCCAGTCACTTTCTCAGGGCCAAAACTCTTGATTCTTACAAAATAATCACAAAAAATATGCCTTAGCCAACTCTACAGGATCTGCACTTATCAGAGTTCAACTTCTAGTAAAATCACATCAACAAGGTCATACCATCATTAAATAGTCTTTAAAATTACTGTTCTCCAACTCTGTATAGGTTTTTAAATATTTTCTCTGAATGATTCTACTACTATTTTGAACATGTTAATATATTTTTTCCATTTTAAATAATAATAAAAACCACATTTTTGAAAGGCGTTGTCTGTCTACATGAGGTACATCATGTGTAGGAAAAGGATTTGATAAAATACAATTAATAAATAAAGCAAAAGAAAGAATGTGATCTCTACTGAATACTATATTTTCCACTTGTAAATATTTCAAACATTTGCAATATGATTTATTTAATCCTCACTGTGTAATTAACACAAATCAGTAGATTGAGAGTTTGTAGCACTTCAGGGAGATGTTCCCCATACCAATATTTTTCTCAGTAGAATTCTCTTCTCCATCATTCCAAAGAGAGTTGAAGGAAACATTAGTGTCTGCAGAACTGTATAAAACTGTGGAGTTACTGAAAATGGAAGGAAACTATTTGAATTGTTTTTAGAGCAGCAGAATGATATTAATATGTTTAGAAAAATCTGCAATCCAAACCTTGAAAAACACACAGATATTTTAATATGTGAAATAAGTTTTTGAACTGCAAGAAAACAAGTGAGTTTGATAATCAAAAAGGCAACTATGCAACTGTTGTATTTTATTGCTTGTGAGAGTTTGCTTTAGGAGTTCATGGGATGATAAATTGTTATTACTTCAAAGAGAATTGTCTGGATATTCAGGTTCAGATCACGCCTGTATGTCATGCATATAACCTGCCCAAGGCCATTAAAATTTTTTAAATAGGATGTTTTATATAGCTCATATTGCATCAGAAAGCATGGGAAGCTTGAAAATCTAAGAAAACCTCAAAAATTTGCATCTTTTTTTAAAAAATATCCCTTTATATATTAAAAATTTAAAAGTTCAGGGACGAATTATCATAGTTATTGGGCACAGAAGACATGAGAGTCAGTATGGTTTGCTATTCAGAATTCATTTGATCAACTTAAGAAATGTGGAGCCCTAGTAGTCCAAAAATCAGCTTTTACAAGTCATAGAATATGTAGATCCACCAATATATTCCATTGAAAGCACTAAGAGCCTTTCTTCAGTTACTTTGCTAATTCTTTGCTGCAGCTTCTGAAAATATCTTGTGGAAAAAAGTCAATACAAATTGTATTTGCTCTGATCCCTTTTTGATGTCTTCCCAGGTTTAAAAGAGAATTCCTCAGCTCGAAGATTTCAGTAGCACTCCCATGGTTATTAATTGTCTTTAATAGTCTGGTGGAGAAATTTATTCATGGGCAGAAATTGCTTTAATCACAAGTAGTTGTTTATATCCAATCTGCCCTTTTATGTAGATAGATATTGCGATTACATGGGAAACAGCACACCAGTGACAGAATTCATACTGATGGGGTTAACAGGGGACTCACAATTGCAGCTGATCCTCTTTGGGACATTTTCTGCTGTTTATGCCTTCACCCTGGTGGGAAATCTAAGCATGATTATCTTGATCAGGATCAGTCCTTCTCTCCACACACCAATGTATGTTTTCCTTACCAGTTTATCTTTTCTGGATATTTGTTACACCTCATCTGTCACCCCAAACTTTCTATCCAATCTTTTAAAAGAGAAAAAAAGTATTTCTTATGGAGGCTGCTTTACTCAGCTTTACTTTTATGCCACATTTGGAACCACAGAGTGCTACCTCCTAGCAGTGATGGCCTATGATCGCTATGTGGCAATCTGCAATCCACTACTCTACTTGATGATAATGTCCCAAAGAAAGTGTGTTCAGCTGATAGCAATTTCCTACATTGCTGGGATCATTAATGCTTCTGTGCACACAATGACTGCAACTAGACTGTCCTTCTGTGGTCCAAACATCATTAAGAGTTTTTATTGTGAGGGTCCACCCCTTTTTTCTCTTTCCTGCTCAGATATCACTCTTAATTATCTTCTGGTATTTGTATTTGTTGGCTTCAATTTAATAACAACAAGCCTGACTGTTCTCACCTCCTACACATATATCCTGATTACCATTTTAAAGATCAACTCTGCCGCAAGCCGTAGGAAAGCCTTCTCCACTTGTACCTCTCACCTCATAGTCATCACCATTTTCTATGGATGTCTTAGCTTTATGTATGCACGGCCAAGCTCTAGACCAAATTATAACCTAGACCAAATGGCTTCAGTGTTCTATGTAGTGGTGACCCCCATGCTCAACCCATTAATCTACAGCATGAGGAACCAGGAGGTAAGGGGTGCTTTCAGAAATATCCTACAACAGAAAGTTCGTGCTCAACAGATACGATTATTGTTGTTACCAAAATTTAAGTTTAGATAAATTTGTTCTAGTAGCAAATGATTTATATCACTGTGTTATTGAATAAAAGTCATTACGCTATATACATTTCTTTGGGCTCCAGTACTAACTATATATATTTACCTCTGAGTTTTAAAAAGTGAAATTTGAACTCTAAAGAAGAATTATCCTGATTTTTTTTTGGATAGCTAGATGTTTACAAACCAAAGGGCAGAACACATAAGGGAGGAAGCAGAACAGAGACATCAATTCTTCAGAGGTAGAATGAAGCAAGCATTTATATTTGGCTTAATCCAGGCTGACCTTCTTGAAATATAATTACAAAAACAATGACCTATTGACATTTTAACTACCTTCCAAGAACCTTAATAAGATTGTTTAACCAATAAGGGATTATCAAGAATGTGAGCAAAGCATATGTACCTTTGCATGTATTACATCTCCAATGAAAAAACAACAACCAAAAATATCCAGAGTCCAATAAATTTAAAAAAGTTTTTTAATATGTTGATCTTGTTTTAAATACATTTAACATTTCTTAAAAATTTCAATCAATGATTTTATAATACAGGAAAATCCAGTTCTCTGTTCCAAATTTCTGTTATATCGTCGGTATTTACTTTTCTCCTTGAGGATTAGTAGTATTGTTAGTTTAATCTCTAAAAATATCTTCATCTGGGGCATTCAGATCCATTGAAGTTTCCAAGGCAGTTAATATTAAATTAAACAGCATGAATGTAACAAATATTATAATTGTATATATTGCTATTTAGTTATAGTTTTTTATATCTTTCAAATATCTTGCAAGTGTGATGGAAAGTCATTTTATAAGACCTTCCAGAAAATTAACATACTGTTCAGAAAGTTTTTTCCTATATCTAATGAAGCCACTACATATTTTTCAGAATGTACTGTTTAGCCTACTTACCAATTATTTGATATTTCCAAAAGTTCCACAAAGTCAGCATTTATAGGACTAATTACTGACAGTAATGCTTTCAGCAATTTTTGTACCAAGGTTGCAATTACAATGTTTTTATCTTTATTTAACAAAGATTCTGGGAAATCCATTCCTGTTTTTAGATCATGAAATGAATCAGTCCCAACACAAAATAGCCATATATTCATTACTTGCAGATTCACAATTTCAGTTCAGATCCCAGTTCAATAATTTGCAGGACATCCCTACATAACTTCTTACTCACTTGAAGACCCCTTCTTTAATTTGACTAAGACCTAAATCCCAAATCTCATTCTCTCTCACCAAAGGTGAAGAAAATGCCATACCATTTTGATGGTATTCCATTCTATAAAAAACATTTTATACCATTCATCTAACTGAATAAAATTTGCAGGAACAGACCTTCATTAGGAGATTAAACAAAATTACTGTTAAATAAATAGGAACAAGATTTATTGTTATGTCTATTTTTAAGTTTTATTGCATTCTGATTCAGTCTGCTTTGGAAAGATTCCTGCTTCCCAATGAGTCTGATAAACTGGTCAGGTTTCAAACCTCAGCTGAAGTTTATGATTAACTGTGACCTAAGTAAGCGTGATTATTTTAGCGACCAATTAAAATTAGAATTCTTATCATAGTGCAGTTTTATAGAAACAACTCAGGGCAAAACAAGGTGAATTCCTCTTCCTCTGTAATCTGAGTCCTTTAACATTTCTGGGAGCAAGAAATACAGAAAAAAGTAACAGTACTTGTAATCTTTTTTGGTAGTGACAAATGTTAATAGCTCAGTGACTGGCTCTGTCTGATTGGAAGAATGATTTTGTTAAGGTATTTATGATGGAGAGTGAGTTGGACTGCAGTTCATTTCTGATCATGGTTAGATATGCTGGCAGAAGAAATTGTATCTTCTGAATCATCTTGGATCATACAAAGGATGGCTTAGATGCAGCCCGCGGGCTGGTTACATCATATGGAGGCAGTGCTCACTCCAGCTCCGGCAATGCAAAAAAAGTCATGATACATCACGACATATCATGTGACGTGGTGAGTTTGACACCCATGGCTTAGAGCCCCAGCCTCCCCCAAAGCATTTGTCTCTTATTCCGCTATATTCTGCTTTTTCATTGTCTATTGCTAGGGATAAATCATTTAGCTGCATTGATGAATAGTAACTTTAATGTAATTCCAGAAGTGTCTGTATTCACAACAATGGTATATGGCAGTGGTTCTCAACCTGTGGGTCAGGACCCCATTTGGGGTCGAACGACCATTTCATGGGGGTCGCCAAACAAGGCTGTCCGCCATTTCCCCCCCCTTTTCTTTGGCCACGTCCCTGGCACCCGGTGATGTATAAGTGGTTGGGGGTCACCACAACATGGGGAACTGTATTATGGGGTCGCAGCATTAGAAAGGTTGAGAACCACTGGTATATGGCATACCTTACATTCTTCAAGTACAGGGTCTATTACATTTAAAAACAGCAGAGAAGAAAATTAATGATGTTTTGTGTCATTCTGAAAAAATCATGCACTACAAGATGTATAGTCTATAGGGAGAGATGTGATAAAGCTTTCTTGCATTTTACACAATTTTATTTTTAGGTACACAGAAGTTTTAAATGGTAATGGTCAATTAAAGAAAAGAATGAAATGAACAAGACAATGTCAGAACTGAGCAGAATAGTGTTGCTGTTTCAGATTGTATTGTGTGCTATCAACAGTTAGGAGATCAGAATCTACACTATTGCAAGAATGCATCAGAATTTAGAGTCACTGGGAGTTGGGAGCATATAAATTATTATAATTATTATATCATTTTCTATTGAATTTCTTCAAGTATGAAACCATTGCATAGGATAGCAACATCCTAGTATTCAGAGGGTATTTTCACAACACCATCTCATCTCTCTAGTGTTTTCAAATAAAATAAAATAAAATAAAATAAAATACAGATGTTACAGGGAAATGGGAGAGTATATCATGGAGTGCCATATAATTCCATATAATATTTTATTAGTAAAATATATAAAAGCCTTGTTTGGATTAACTGAAGAATTTATGGGTCAATTAACTCAGCTATCTGCTGGAAAGGTACTGTGTTTTAAAAGATATGGAAGTAATTAATTTGTCATTGTTAATTATTATAAAGTATATAGTAACTATAACTGCAATTCAAATACTTTTTTGCTTGTTTATTGCATTAATCAATTTGATTCCAAAAAACCCTCAATACTGGCATGGAATTTAAAAACCTTGCAAAAATACTTTATATCCAAGAATATCTTTCTGGACCTGATTCTGCATTCTGTCTCACCTTCCTCATAGCACATCAGTATACTTTTTCCTTGTTTATTTGGACAACAATTACTCTGCTGACACAGTAGTGTTTTCAAATGGTCATTTGAAAGAATAAATAATTTGTTTTGTTAGCTGTCTTACTCAGAGTTATTTTTTTATGGTCCATTGACAACAACAAAGGCTATTTCCTCCTTAAGAATCAAATCGAATAATAACTTTATTCTCACTTTGAATGTACACTAATTGGCATACATTAAAATGAAATTTTATTGCATACAGCTCTCAGAGGGTCACCACCTCCGATATACACTACATCAGGGTTTCCCAAGCTTGGCAACTTTAAGACTTGTGGACTCCTAGAATTCCACAGCCAGCCATGCTGAATTCCACAGGTCTTAAATTTGCCAAAGTTGGGAAACCCTGCACTACATAAATATGACAAAAATAAATAAATAAATATAGAATTATGTATATACCCACATATATTATATGACATAGAGAAACAACAGTCTAGTTCGGGTTAAGTATACATGTGCATGCTGAGAGAAACAAACTTTGCGAGTTTACCAAATACATGGCATAGGGAACAAAGCTATTGCAGAATTGGGTAGTCCTGCTAGAAATACTTCGAAACTTCCTCTCAGAGGGGAGCAACAGAAACAGACCGTGAAGTGGGTGTGTGGAGTCTCTAACAATGCTTCGAGCTCTAAGCATGTAGCGGTTATAAGTAGCATTCTGAATACCAGGAAGTGAGCTTCCTATGATCTTCTCGGCTGTCCTTACCATTCTCTGTATGGACCTTCCATCTGAGAAACTGATGCCACCAAACCAGACAGTGATTCAGTTTGTTAAAATGCTTTCAATTGTGCCTCTATAAAAAGTGGCCAGGACAGAAGGAGAAAGATGTGGTCTCCTCATGCGACACAGGAATGCAGATGCTGGTTTGCATCCTTCACTAAGGATGATGTGTGGAGAGACCAATTCAGATTGTTAATTATCTGCACCCCCAAATACTTAACACTGTTGACCACCTCTACAACCGCATCCTTGATACTGAGTGGAGTATGACTATGCCAGCTGTTTCTGAAATCTACAATGATCTCCTTTGTTTTATCAACATTTAGAACCAGGTTATTTTTATTGCACCAGTCCACCAGAGCCTTCACCTCTTCCCTATAAGCATCTTCATTGTCATTCCAGATAAGACCCACCACTGCCGTGTCATCTGCATACTTCAAAATATGATTCATAGCAGATTTGACACAGCAGTTGTGGGTCATCAAGGTGAACAGTAGCAGACTCAGGACACAGCTCTGTGAAGAACCTGTACTCAAGGAGGTGGAATTGAATGGTCAATGACTGATGGTCATGGTGATGGGTATTCCAGTACTCTATTTAGGCTAGGAGTCATGAAAAAAATGGAGCTTATCTTTCATGTGAAAGATTTCACCAGTAGACTGTTGTTGGGATATTTTTCAATACTTTTAAAATGACCATCTGGCAAAATGTTGCAACATTTCAAAGACAGAATTATTGAAGAGGATGAAAGTCCATGTCAACTAGATGGGCAATGGCATTTTGATGGAAGAGGAGTAGGGACTGGACATACCATTAACATAATCATGAGGCCAAAGGCACCCTGCAACATTCTGTTTTTTTGATTATGTGCCATCAAATCAGCACCGACCTTTTCAGCCACAAAGAAAGAACTTCTCTGGGTTGATTTGTCCCCAATGATCCAGTCATCACCATTGTAATTGTGT